AAAATGACATCCTGGATTAGTAAAAGAATTGAAATTTGAAAGACGTACTCACGTATCCGTGTCCGAAATTTGGACTTTTTAGCCATGTCCCCGTATCCTACATTTTAAAAAATAAAAGATCCAACACTTAGACACGTACCCGTACTCGAGTCCGAGCATCATAGTGTAAAATAAGTCGATAAATGAGCTAGCAACAGTCTAAGCGGGGATATGCTGATCGATTCAATTCTGACAATTAAGTTAGTTGATTCCAATAAAAATAGTAAATGTAAGGTAGACTAGTTACTTAAGAGTGTTTGGTCAGTGATTGCCATAAGGAACAATGACTTCTATTTTTTGGCACTAATAATTAATCAGTGCCATAACGATGTCATTATTTTCAAATGATTCCCGTGGATTTCTATTTACTGTTGTGCTGGTAGATAGTATTTTCAGAATTCAATGTGAGGCACCGACACCACACTAACCAAGGAGCTCTTCTTGGGTTTTGATTGACAAATTGCAATATTAGGTGTCTGACATGAGGGTCACATTCCTTCTATTGAGTCCTCCACATGCCACAGAGAATTATTTTTTATGAGTGAAGAAGCTCTATTGATTGCAATTGTCATTATTACCTCCTTTGGCCAGAAAATCCTTCCTTTCTTACAAATATCCTAATGCCTCGAGTGATTCAGTCCCTTTCAGTATTATGTAGACCAAAATAGAAACACGAGCTTTTCCGTCTTTGGTCAAGCAAACAAATGAATTGAACTTTGTTAGCCACCATGTCTATGGCTGACGGATAATATGCTTTGGTAATTACATCTTTGCCTTGAAAATTATGCATAGTGTTGGAATAGAGAAACCACTATGAATCATAGAAAAATGGAGTCTCTCTCTCTCTCTCTACTTCCTGAAGCTTTTTGCTAACCCCCCTGTTGCTGATTTTCTTCTATCAAGCACAAGCCTTCAGTACTTAAATCTAATGTCATCCCTCTAAAGTACACCTGCCATGATGTATGTAAGCACATACTATTTTCTTGCAAATTCATAAAAAATGTTTTATAATTTTAGCAACTCACAAACTTACTGCAGACTATTTCCACTATCAAGGGAGAAGGAAAAATTCCATTTTTAGAAGTAAATATACAGTACTTCCCTCATGCTGTCGAGAACATAAAATCCATATTGTCCTTTATTAATAGTCATGGAAAAGTTCTGATTCTGATAATAATAAAACCATCAATAATAGATACTCATTGGAATATGTTAAACATAACATTTTCCAAAGACAGTACCACCAATGTGTTGACAATAAGAACTTGCTTACACTCCAAATAAGTGAAAATCTCAAAGTGTTGTTAGGCTTAAGACTGATCTGCAAAACAATACACATCTAGGATGGCACTAGAGTTTCTTTCGTATCACAGGCCCACCAAGGCTCAAGTCAATCAAGTTGTTTGAATTTAATGCAGATAAATCTTTACATGCATATAATACTTAATACTGAATAAATAACATGTTTATAGAATTACTTGTTCGACCTCTTCTTACATGCTTGTAAGTTATGATTTATATATAGGATTATACGTGAACTTATCAGGCTTATGGGAAATCTCATTTATTAATATCAAATGTTATGGTATCACATGATCAATGACATACTAGAATTAACTGAATTTTCAAATAGAGTGAGAAGATGATTTTTATATAATAGAAAGTTACCCAATTAAGATGAGGTTTTTATTGGTTAATAAGTTAAATTCACCGGTTACCATGTAATGTAAAATATTTATAACATATTATTATGTGAGGTTTTAGCTATTGTGTATACAAATTTGCCTCATAAAAGCAGCAAAACTATTCCTGGTAGGCAAGGTTTTACTTCAAACGAAAACTTAGTTTGTTGCAAAAACATGATAGGTGAAAAAACCTTTATTATTGAAAATTCACTTCCCCAATAGTGTTGTTCTTAAAAATTTTAACTACAAGGTCTATCACACACTACCCAGCATTTTGCTCATATCTTGTCGCCATTGATATCAAGGATCGTGTTAAAAGATTCTTGAAAGTACCGCGACATTCAAGAAAAGATATTGAGCATAAGCAAATTTCCAAACTAAGAATTTGCAAATACGGAAATTCAAAGAAGAGTTTGGTTATATTTGTAATCTAAAACCAGTCTCTATATCCATTGTCACATACTACCTAAACTCCTCCATTGTTATCACTTGCTAAATTGTAGCATATATTTTTTTTTCTACCTTTGCAATAAGAAGAGTGTTCTGAGAGAACACTGAAGTCAACTACCATAACGGTTAATGTGTGTCAATCCCATTTCTTTTGCACACATTTTAAATATTCAGCCCCATCAACCTCTTTTTGCATAACAAAGCTCCATGCTACATACATTTTACAAAATATTACCAAACTAATGGAAAGCTCTTTCAAATTCCAATCTTGAAACTTCTTACTTTGGAAGTTCAGTCGTGATCCAGATCTTTGTTGCATTTTTTGTAATTTCAAGAATATGAAAACCTGATTTTTGATATTGTAGGCCACAAGATATTGACAAAAGAATATACCATGACTTAACAGATAAACTCCATAGTCAAAAATCATATATTAACAACTCCATTATCGTAATGTGAATTTTCGAAACCAATGTATCATTCTCCAATATCGATTACATCATCATTTTTCCAAACATGTTCTTTAAATGAGTAAAAGGTAGAATAGTAATCTGAATTAGAATAGGATGGATATGTTAGTGACATCAACATATAGTAATAGGCAATCTCATCTGCAAAGCACTTGAAAAAAAATATGTAAAATCAAACTTCTTATGTAAAAGTAATCGTCAGTAGTGGCACTTGTAGAAAATTTCTGCTCATTGAATTAAATATAAATAAAAAGAAATTTTGCGTTTCATATCTTTGCAACAACGCAAGCCATTGTTTGAAGCAAAATTCTGCCCATTGATAATCATTTTCACGAGTTTTATAAGGCAAATTTCTATACACTATAACTTCACTAGTAGTGTTATGTTCTTAATATTTTGCACCACATGGTAACTCATGAATTAAATACAAAAAATGTAACATCCTCATCATTGTATGATAAATTTCCGTTGATAAAAATTTCCTTCTTACCCTACTGTGTGCCACCTATGAGGTAATAAAGCCCCTGTTTGACACCCATTTTGTTTGAAAAATAATTTTTGGAATAGTGATTGATGGAAGATTGTGTGGTTAAAAAGTAAGGAGAATTTTTGGGTTTATGTGTAATATTATTTTATTAATAGAATGTGTGGTTGAAATGAAGAAAGAGAAATAGAATGAGAAAAAAATGGGTGTCAAACAGGGGTTAAACTAGATTTNAAATCGTCAGTCAACGTTGAAACAATATTTTTGACTCAAATGACAACTTAGCCCCTGTTTGACACCCATTTTGTTTGAAAAATAATTTTTGGAATAGTGATTGATGGAAGATTGTGTGGTTAAAAAGTAAGGAGAATTTTTGGGTTTATGTGTAATATTATTTTATTAATAGAATGTGTGGTTGAAATGAAGAAAGAGAAATATAATGAGAAAAAAATGGGTGTGAAACAGGGGCAAATGTGACAATTCATGAGTTAAATAAGAGAGATTCTGGGCAAGCCTAAGAAATTCACTTGTAGCTGCAGTTCTGAATCATAATGTACAAGTTTATAAAGGACACATGAGAAGACGTATAACTAGGAGTCCTAAACATAAACACAACATTTATTTTTCATACCATACATTTAATTTCTTTTTATCCATTATTTCTAAAAAAACTCTACTAAAATGGAAGTCAGACCGCCTTCACAGGACACCCCTATCAACATTTTAAACATGACAAATACCAGCCTTTAAAATTTCTCGCATACTTGGGTTGCTGGGGAGCTATCAGATTTTGAATATCAGCATCTAGGTGTAACTTTTTAACATGCTTAATGGCCACCAAAAGGTACCATTATTATATCACATAGTGGACACCAACGTGTTAGTCTTTTTAGCCTAATAGCAGGAATTTCCAAGTAACTGTTAAAATCCCACAAGAATTATCGTATTAAATTTAAACCAAGCTGGAAAAACTTAGATAAAGTTTAACAACGAGAATGAACAATAAATACAGATGAATAACAAGGAAAAAATTAAAACATAAAAAGCCATACGAACAACTACAAATATTCTAAAAATCATTTATTTTTCTTATTCCACCTTTTTTGGTCCCTTTTTCAACATTTATTTTGCAATTAAACAATAGGTACAATAAATTCACAGATTGCAAACAAACGACAAAAAAGAACATAGAGAGAGAGAGAGAGAGAGAGAGAGAGAGAGAGAGAGAGAGAGAGAGAGATGTACCTTTGTCGCTGACATCGTATCCGTGAGTTGAGTNAAAAAAGAACAGAGAGAGAGAGAGAGAGAGAGAGAGAGAGAGAGAGAGAGAGAGAGAGAGAGATGTACCTTTGTCGCTGACATCGTATCCGTTAGTTGAGTCATCTTTGCTTGAATTCGATTTGGGTGAAGGGTAAATAGGAAAACCGTTTTCAGATGTGAAAAAGCGAAAATTGACAGAGTTTAAAAAGCCATTTGAAGAAGGTAATAAGGGTGAGAAGAGACTGATAGCCTTTGTTGGTTTGGAAGTGAGGAGATGGAAAATTTTGGGAGGGCAGACTACCAATTGCTTAGCTAAAGAGGATTTCATACTCTGATTATACTTCTCCTTCCACCTAGGGTTCTTGCTTTAAACAATCAATAATGCTACTCTTAATGAATAATTATTCATAGTAAAAATTACTCGTTTTAACGGGG